GCTACGTATAGTCTTGGGAGATGACTGTCGTGGCAGAGGCTTTCTAGATGACTACTTGCGCGAGAGCAGAGTCATAGCTGCAAACATCCCGTGAGAGGAATGCCGGAACTGAGGCCGAGCAACGTATAGCTCGGGGCATGGCTGTTGTGGCAGAGGCTCATTCCATTAAGATGAAGATGAGGAGGGTTAAGGAACCGGCGCCTGAGGTTGAGTGGCGGCTGTTGGGCGCCTACTAAGAGGATCACTGTTAACTTTCTGGCTTTGTCCCCTATAAGGCACCAACAGTAGTTAGTGACGGGGAGAGTCTTGATTATAGTGGTTGTGGATCATGGAGTAGTTGTTGATTCTCAAGAGAATGACGACTATTGTCCTTTTGTCTAGACCTTGTTGTTAAGTCATGTTTTGACTTTTGTAAGCAATTTGTAAATTTTAGGAAAACAGGACAATTCGGACACAATAATCTTTGGAGAATTTTATTTTATAAATTAATAAATAACAAATTAAATCAGCTGAAACAATAAATGATAGATAAAATCTTCAGGTGTTTGGTGTCCCATAAGTGGGCCAAAACTTTTCAGGCAGAGTTCGAGTCATTTCCTTCTCCTAGCCCTTAAGAGTTTGTCTGAATTTCTCCAAAGGGTTGCTGGCGTTCTTTGTTGTTTTGGTTCCGGCTAGGTGGTGGGGCTTGTCCTTTGCTAGCAACGTATTGCCCCAACTGGCCCTGCTATATGAGCTCCTCGATCTACCTTTTAAGATCAAAGCAATCGTCAGTATTATAGCCGTGGTTGCGGTAGAAACGACAGTATTTGGTCGGGCTCCTCTGGTTCAGGGTAGTTTTCATCTTTTCTGGCCAACATACTGTAGGATCATCTTATATTTGGAACAAGATATGCTCTACAGAAGCATTGAGTGGCATGAAGGCTTTCCATTTTCTTAGAGGCAGGGGACCAAGACTGTCCTTGACAGAGATTTTCTTTATCCAATTCCTATTGTTCTCTGTTTCTCATCTATCCTCACGGGTGTCCTTCCTCTTCTACCTTCCTCGAGAGGACTCACCTTTATGGGCTTTGGTGACGTCCTTGGCGTTTATATATTTCTGTACCCTAGATAGTAGCTCCGGCATGCTGGAGGGCTGCTTCTTGAGGACGGAGAACATAAAGCTGGATGAGTGAAGATGGGCGATAAAGGCTACGAGGGCTACCTTGTCACTGGCTCCTCAATCTGAAGAGCCTCGTCATTGAAACGAGCGAGATAGTCTCTAATGCTTTCTTCCCTGTCCTGCTTGATGGTGAGTAGGTGAGTGACAGGTTTCTGATGTCGGCGTTCACCAATAAAGTGGGAGATGAAAGATCGAATCAACTCCGCAAAGGAGTGGATAGAAGAGGGCTTGATATTTGTGAACCATTGGCGAGCAAAACCCTTCAAGGTGGTAGAAAAGGCTCTACAAATAATCTCCTCAAGCATGTTATGGAGTTATATGAGAGATGTGTATGTGTCAAGATGGTCGAGGGAGTCTTTGTTACCGTCAAAGATCTCAATGGTAGGCATCTTGAACTTCGAGGGTAAGGGATAATTGACTATATCAGCAACAAAAGGTGTATCGGTATGTCTTACTAGGTAGTCCACCGTTTCAGGTGCCTGTGTCTTGATGGCGTTGAGGGCATTGCCGAGTTGATTTTGCACCTCTCTAATCTTTTCATCTCATTGATTAGGGACATCCTCAGTGGGGTGGTGATACTGGCTTCCATGATCTCCATATTGGCTCTCTCATTCGTCATTGTTCTCTTGCGCAAGTACGTATGGGGGGGAACACATGAGCTTCCTATGCATTAAGGAAGGACTACTAGGCGAGGGGCGCCCTGGTGTGGCCTAGGAACATTCTAGTGAGGGGTTGCCTGATGCCCAGAAGGGATGGGTTGCTGCTTATCTCCTATTGGAGGAAGTGGGGCTCCTCCTATGCGGTGAAAGGCTGCACCTCCCTGGGTGAGCATCAACTGTATGATTTGCTTGTTTTGCTTTACCAGTAATTGCATAGTCTACAAAAGCCGTTGCTGTTGCCCGACGATAGGAGTCGCCGTAGTAGATGGTTTTGAGGGTGCGAGGGGAGGCGAAGCTTCTTCCTGGTGGGCCGAGCTGTTTTCTTCTAGTTGTTGACTCATCGATCTGGTCATGATTGCCATAGATTAGAAGAGAGTATAAAACTTAGTTGTTTCCCATAGACGGCGTCAAACTGATGATGCACAAATTGGTATTGCGTAAAATTAATAGTCGAGTATATGTAAGGGTGCAATTAATGAGCAGTAAACAGGCAATTAATGACAAAACATTAAATAAGAGCAAACACGTAGATTTATAGTGGTTCAGTCCGGGTGACCTACTCCACTCTTGGGAATGGTAACGGTGGCTGGAGATCTTTATTGATGAATAAAAGTCACCGGGAGAGTTACAATGCTTTAGGAGAAAGAAACTTGAAGTATAGAGAGGTCTCAAGGTCATGCCCTCTATGTGGAGAGGGCTTACAATATATACAGATGGTGAGGCGGTGATGTGAGGGAGAGGGCTCTCCTATTTTGGTAAGTACAATTAAGGTAGGACTAGATCTCCATGAGGCATATTCCGATATTCTCTCCCTCGTGCTCCTATTCTTTTGGAATTCCTGGGTCCTGAGCTGAGTCGAACTAGGTTAGAGTGGCAAAGTGAGGAGGTCGTAGGAGAGACAGGAGGGCCAACCCATAGGCGGCGCCTAGGCTCTGGGCGGCACCCCCTTGGGCGGCTCCTTTGGGCGCTGGCGTCTCAGGCTCCTTTTGGGCTCTGATGACTTGGGCCGCTTTTGATTTATTAGGCCTGGCCCAGTTGATTTTGGGCTCATCAATATCAATGTTACAATGACAAAATAATACTAATCAGTTACATCAATCAGTTACAATTGTCCTATAATATACTAAACAATTAGTCACGTGTTCTAATACACCAAACAGATATATCAAACAATTACACAAAATTATGACACCAACCTAATTTGTCATTTTGTTGTTTACATAAAATCAAAGTGCTATACAATTTAGAATCACGACATAGTTATACCAATTATATACATTAAATTTAGTATAATGACAAAGTCTTTTGTGTAATGATAAACTCAATTTGGTGTATATAATTGGCATAACTACATCGTGATATTAAATGGTGTAACTCTTTGATTTATGTAAACAATTGAATGAATAATTGGATTGATGTTGTAATTTTGTGTAATTGTTTAGTGTAACTGTTTGGTTTATTAGAACACAAGACTAACAGTTTGGTGTATTATAGGGTAATTATAACTAATTGGCGTAACTTATTGGTGTAATTGTGTTGTTGTAATGTTGATATAAGGAGGGAGAGAGAATAAGGAGAAAAAGTGTAACGGTGAGAAAAAATAGGGGAGAGAGAGTGAGAGAAAGAGAAAAAATATAGGGAAAAGAGATGAAAAAATAAAATCAAATATTTACATATTTGAAAAAAAAATTATTAATGAGAGAGAGATAGAGAGAAAATAGGGAAGAGATAGTGAATGAGTAATGGAGAGAGAGAGAGTAATAGAGTAATGAATAACCTTTTAATCTTTTTGTTTTTTAAAATGCACTTTGGGTCAAATAAGTTTTCTTAATATACTTTAGTACCTACTTACAAATTCCCCTTTTTTATTTGACTATTACTGCACACCTAAAAATTATTAGATTTTTCTTAAAATAGGGCCTAAAGTCCAATTTTTATTGGTCTGGTGATTGGGCTAGGCCTGACGGGGATGAAAATTAAGCATTCAAAAAAGCCTTTGGGAAAATCACCACTAAATCCTACTTTTTCTCCAAAAAAAACCCATTAAATCTTATCATATTTACATTAGCACAATTAAGTCCTACTTTTGATAATTTATTTCCAAGAAACCCAATACTACATCAATAGTATGTTTTCTTCCAATTTTATCCTTCACATCAACACATCAATTATACTTTTACCAATAATATTTGTTATTAGGACCTAAAGCAAAATATTTTTTTTAATTAGTACATAACACCCAACACACACAATTAACAGTAAAGACTTATAGAAATAATAAATTATATAACTCGATTGTTTTCTTATATTTCATTTTTTAATTATACAAATTTCAACTCACTTGATTATCAAATCTCAATGATAAAGACACGTGATTATATGAATTAAAAATGTAAAAACTAGTCCATGAATAAAATCATGGAGAAAAGTTTACACTAGAAGAAAAGATCGATTTGTCAATGTTTAATCACCGGCGTTTGTGATAAATATCGTTTAATTAATTTAATCGTGATTAATCCTATTGTAAATGCTAGTTTGAACTTATTAATCGCTCGTTATCGACGTTTATTAAATGCCCCTAATTAACAGCGTTTACCCAAATGTCTCTGATTCATTTAAATATCTTTTTATTTTCTGTGACCCCTGACGACTAAACTCTGACTACTTTTTCTCAAATCCTCTCTCTCAAAGTTTCCTCTCTTTCTATCTCTAGCTAGTTGGATTCTTACAAAGCAAAGGATTTTTGATTTTGAGATCCAAACCATACAGCTTTCGATTATGCTTTCTCAATCGATCTGTCTAGCATTTTTTTGATATACTGCCAATATTGTCCTTATCAATTGTGATTGCTCTTATCACCTAGAACTACTACCGCAAATTAGTTCACTTGGAACACTAATCATTGAAGCATCACATACGCGTTTTGGGCAAAGCTTCATATCAGACAGGTTAATTTAGGCTTTGCTCTTGCTTTTGAAGGTTTTTTTTTTTTGGCCAATGAGATCTTTTCTTCCTTGCTGTAACAAAAAATCTGACCAATTGCTAAGATCTATAAGAAGTGGGGCTTGACATCTAGCTAGAGCCACCAAGAAGATTCAACTATCCACTGAGGTGAGCAAGTTTGATTTGGTCTCATCTTCGTGCGATTCGATTTGGATTATAAACTATCGCTTTTACTCTCAAATTTTCAAACTCATGTTTTCTTCATCCTCGTTTTGTCTTGAAAATTTGGGAGTAATTTGTAATAGGTTGTGGTTTGGGAACTGGTGCTTCAAAATTAATTTATGGTTGGGAAGTAAGAGGTTTGTGCAGATGTGATGCCGTTCACAGCCATGGTGACTATGGAGTGCACAAATGTAGGCCTAAACACATTATACAAAGCAACCACTCTTGGAGGGATGAGCCCCCATGTCTCTGTGGTTGACGCTTACGGTGTTGTTGCTGCTCTTGTTCTCCTTGCTTCACCATTCTTCTCTCAAAGGTCTCTCTATCTCTCTCGCTCTCTCTCTCTCTCTCTCTCTCTCTCTCTCACGTTATATCATGAGATCACCATCTTCAAAGTCCTCCTCTGAATTAACAATCAATATACTGATAATTGCCATCTTAAAGTCCTATGAATAATAATCAAAACACTGATTTTTTTTTTTTTTTTGCCTCATTCCTAGTCTTGATTAATCCTATAGTTTTGTTGTAAAATTTGGCAGATCAAGAGTGCTTCCTCCACTTAATTTCTCCATTCTATGTAAAATTAGTCTCCTTGAGCTTATCTAGTGCACATAGTTTTATCCAAAACTTATTGATAGATATTATGGTATTGATTGGTTGTTGGATTTAGTTGTACATCTCAGATCATGGGATATACAGACATCAATTGTGGTTCTCCAACTCTTGCTTCCACCATTACAACCTCATGCCAGCATGGTTTTAATCTTTTTAGGGTATCTTTCTTGTTGATGTAAATTTGTATTTCGAGTCACATCTATCTTTCTTTGTATATAACGTAATGTCTCTTTGAAATAGTTTGATCCGTGTACATTTTACGAATTTTCAATTTTTATAGGATAAATGAATTGTGTTGTGCTTTTAGATTCAATATTGGGTATTGATTCTGTTGATAACTTTGAATTACCCTTCGTTATTTTTCAGAATTCTGCTGAAATTTGATGTTGCTGGATTTGGTTGGATGAGCTAGTTTTTGGTGTCGTACATTTTCTAGTAGAGGACACAACGCATAAGGTTGAAGATGGTAAGTGTGTTGATATTGATATTTCCCTCAAATGTCATTTTTGGTCCTTGAATTAATGAATGTGAAAAGTAGTAAGATTTTGTATTATTTTTGAATATATATATATATAGATATTAAGAATGTTCATAAAATAATAAAAAATGATCTTGGAAACTTCGAAGCATAATTTGTAAAATAATCGCAAGGTTTAAGTTTGTGCGTAATGATTTTTTGGTCAAATATAGAGTTGGAGGCATGTAAGCTTTAAAAAAGTAGTTAATAATCATTCTAAAAGTTTATAGGTCAAAATAACATCAATATTGAATTCGAGAGTGGCAAAAAAATTTGAGTTAGACATTTAATCGGTATTGCGATAAAAAAGGGTAAAAGTTGTAAATTTGGAATTTAGGGTATAATCTGGCTTGGATTTTTATAGAATTCATAAAAATAATTTTTTTTTGCCTAAAATAACATTAAAAGGGGATCCGAAAATGTCAAAAAAATCTTAGGGTAGTCATACGGATCAAATTGGAGAAGTTTTGGGATAAAATTATAATTTTGGAGAAAATACATATTTTTTGTCCTGTGAATAATACCCAGCGAGAATTTTTATCCTTATAACCCATTTTCACCTCCATTTCTCTCATTTTTCTCACATCTCTCACCCCAGTACTACTCCATAAACCTTAGAATTAGAAAGAGAGAGGAAGAGAGCAGAATGTCATTAGAGCTTGGGCTTTTGCTTGGAAACTTAAGAACATTATTTGAAATTCTTGAATTCACTTAAATATTTGCTTACCGGTTGGCGTTACCACAAAATTTTTCTAGTCTTTATGCGGTATTATAAGTCTCCATGCTCTAGAAGTACACTCTAGATCCTACGCACGTGGTGGATTGAAGTGAGTTGGTTGTTGATACGAATGAGACCTTTGAGGATGGACAAGTACGTATCATGGATAGCGGAGAGCATATTTTGTGAGGTAAGACTGTGAGTTTGGTGAAGGTGCTGTGGTAGTACCGTGGTGTGGAGAATGTGACATAGGAGCATGATGGCACTAACCGTACCAGTTATCCGTTCTTATCCGAAGATGGAGTTACATTCTAATAGTCATTAAGTGTTATATGGTTTGTAGCATATGCATGTAGTTAAACATACATGTGTGTTTAAATTTCAGGGACGGAATTCTTTTTAAGGGTAGAAGAATGTAAAACCTAAGTAAGTTTGAAATTTTTTGAAAAAGGGTAAAACGGTAATTAATCACTATAGTGTGGGTTGAAAACTTGAATTTATCTGGAAATCGAATGACGAAACAAACCTCACCATTGGATTCATTTTATAAAATCTAGTTACTCAGTCAATTTTCATTAAATTCTGAGATAGTTGAATTTTTCTCGCTTTATAAAACGATTGGGTGTCGCATAACCTAAATAAATAAGACTCGGAATTAAATTGCAAAAAATAAAAATAATTTAATGTTATTTCAAATAAAAATATTTTAAACTTGAACCGGAATGAAATTTAATTGATTCAAGAAAAAATCGGACCTAAGAAAGACGAACGTGTGGCGCAACAAGGGCCAAGTGTTTGGAAGGTATAAAAGGGGAAGAAAAATCAGATTTCTTCCCCAATTCTCAACAGATTTTTGTAGGAGAGGGAAGAGATGAAAAAGGAAGAGTTTCTTCAACTTCTATCTACAGTCTATGACTTTCCTTTGGTCGAGTCACCTTGGCCAAGAACAGAGATTGTTCTACTCGACATGGGCTACAAAACCAACTAAAAATCAAAGATTTTGATGAAGTTCAAAGGATAAGATTTTTAAAAATCAAGGGCTAAAGCTTAATTTGGGTCTTGAAGGTTTTCTACCATTTGTTTTACGCTTCAAGAGGTAGGGTTCTTTTCCTAATTATATTTAATTTCAACCTAGGATTCCATATGATATGGGTAGCATGACTTGAAATTAGTTCTCTTGTTTGATGTATTCCTAGTGTAACTAGAGTATGAAAAATGGGTGTAGAAATATGCTAAATCAATCTTGCATGAATTGGGTTTGTAGAATTTACTTGTTTGGTAAATTCATGAGAAATGTGATAAATTTGGTATGATTGTGTGTTACATGATTGTATGACTTTTGGGTGTTTGATAAAATGCCTATGTTGATGTAGCATGTTAGTTCCATTGAAAATGTAAAAATATGCTTGATGAAAATGTGGATTGTAATTATATGCCTTTGATATATTTGACAATTCAAGAATATAATGATGTTGGAATGTAATTATATGCTTTATAATATAGATTACATTAAGGAATTGAAAATGTTCATATTGTGTTCATGACATGTTGAACATGGTATGACACATACCTATGGTTGTTAAAATGTGAAAAATGAGTATTGAGAAGGGTTAAAGTCAATTCTAGCATGAATTGGGTATTTAGAAATTATTTGTTGTGATTTCTTGTGAAATGTATTGATTGGTCATGCTAAGTGTTTACATTTATGCCTTGAAGGTGTTTAATGAAATGCCTATGTGAATTAAGTGTGTTATTTGTATTGATTATGTTATGACATGCTTGGGAGTTGATATTGGTATATGTATTTTGATATATTGACATTGAGGTTGTTGATGTGGTGACATGGTTATGATGTAATTGACCATGGAAAAGGGTTGAAGGATATTTAAGATGTTCATGTTGAGCTCATGACATGTGAACATGATAATGAAATTTCAAGTGTACATTACATTTGCATATGCACGGGGAGCATCACATTTGTGGAAATTTTACATGAGTATGGGTATGTGTGTGCATGTTTTTGGATCAAACACCTTTCATGGTGGTTGAGGCGTAGACTTGGGAAGGTTGGACCTAGGTCCGATTGAGTTGCACGTTTGCATAAAAAACTTGTATCGGGTGTAGAAAGAAGGGCTAGATTCTCCCTCGGATGCAAGACTCGGTTATTGGTTTATACACTTCCATCGATAAAAGTCTAAAAAAAGTGTATTGATGTCACAAAACCGGCAGTGAGATACCAAAATCTATGTACCTAAGAAAGACACATGGTTTATTTTATAAAATGGTCATTGGATGTGTAACATCAATGGCGGGGGCTTGAAATATATGGATTCATATACATGGCATTATATGTGTTATGGGAGTTGGTGAAGGTTTAGGTTGAGTTGCATTTGTGAGTCTCATCTCATGACATGACATGACATAGAAAATTCTATTATGAATTGCATATTCTTGGAATGAATTATTTATTACTTGTTGAATTGCATGTGAGCATTTCATATGCATCTTGGTTGGGGAGTAGTATCTTTAGGAGATACTCTATTATGTGTGGTCCACCCTTTATGGGGGATAATATTTTAGGTGCGGGACATGCACCGGTGGATGGCTCTCACTCGGGCCCTCATTGATGAAGAAAATTCAAGATGTGACTTTAAATTGCATTTTTGTAAAACACATGTGTAAATATTTTTGGACATGTAATATTATGAAAGGAATTGCAAAACAAACTCTTATGAACTATATTTTGTGTAAAATTATATGTTATATGAGTTTGGGTTGTTATATGAGTATGGATAAATGGACCAAGTGTGGTCAATATTGTATGATTGCATAGGTTGCGTTTTGAGTAGAGCTCCCCGTACAAAGGAGATCTACCTGAATTTTGTTAAGTTATGGATCTCGATAAATAGGACATAACGGCGTGGTATCGAGTTATACGGTATGTAAGGGTATTCTACGTGTTGATGGGTGATCAATAGGGTAATTACGGACACCCGAATTTTGGGACGTTGCAGCTTGGTATTAGAGCTTAGGTTCATGATTTACCTAGGGTGGCGGGACATGGGTTTAGACTATTACATCCGTTGAGCATTATATGTTATGTGCTTTAAATGGTACATGGTATGTATTATGTGAATAATATGCATGGTTAAATAATTGGAAAAGAAATACGAAGTTAGAGAACATAACCTTGGTTGTCAGAAAGAAAAGGAACATGACAGTTCAAGTATAGATGTTTCTACTATTGGGTGGCAACGCTCTACTAGTGAGACAAATAGAGAAGTCTCAATGTTTCGACTTT